AAACCCAGGACAGATGTGAAGAGCAAAGTATAACATTATTATTAAAAGAAAACGGGGCTTTTTCAAGGAGTAGAGTGTACTCTGATATATTAAAATGCTTGTTGGGTGAAAAGCATAATTTGTAAAATCACGTATTTCTAAGAAAATGGGTATTTGTGACTTAGATTGCTTAGATCTTAGATCTTGAAAACCAACAAAAATTAAGAAACCCGCAGAGCTCCTGTATGTGGGGAAATACATCAAGTGTAACATTTTATTTGTGATGTAAAGTGGTATGCTAGCATTTCTTTTTAAATAAAAAACTACCAGTAAGACAGAACCTTATCATATCAAAAGACAAAAAAATCAATCAATCTAGATGTCATAGGTTCTCCTGGCCTATCAGCTTCAGGGTTTTCCTTACAGAATTGATGCGATGTTCCCCTGATGAATAGTTTATCTTAACAACCAAGTGTTGGATTTCAGACCTTGATAGTGTCATTTTTCATGATCTCTGTACAAAACCTAGAAATAGATTTTGATAATTTGGCCAAGAAAAGATTGTGTTATAGGTAGCACCATAGTATGAATTGACAGGTGTGATAAGCTTTATAAAACTATTTAAATGTAATTATAAATGTAATTATAAATGTAATTATTATATCTCTGAGATATAATACGAACAACAAATTTAGATGGATGACATTGCTTGTCTGTCTTTAGTTAACATTCAGAATTTCAGTTGTTTTCAGCTTTTGTTTTTGTGTTGTGGTGGGTTTTTTTCAGAGTTGATGTTAGTGTTAATGACTAATGGATCTTTGCTGTTCTGTTGTGGGTTAGATCTCCCTACTGAAGCAGAATCTGGAGATGCAGCTTTCCCAGTCACAGAGCTCTCTGCAACAGCTACAAGCCCAGTTTAGTCAGGAGCGGCAGAGGCTGACTCAGGAGATCCAGGAATTAGAAGAGGAGCATCAGCAAAGGCATAAGTCACTTCAGGAAGCCCATATCCTTGCCTTTCAAAACATGGAAGAAACAAAAGAGCAAGAACAAAAGGCACGTTCATATGGATATTCCTAATTACGTAGAGAAAGTTGCCATTTTAGCAATTTTTGTACACAGTTGGAACGAGTAAAGGAAAGTATCTGCATAAGAACTAAATTTCCTTTTCAGCTGCTTTCTTCTACTAAAACTTTTATCCAGTTAAATATGATTAGGACATATTGAAAATCATCGACAAATACTGGCATTGTTTCATGTCTTACTTTATACTCAGCCAGTATATGCATATATAGGTGTGTATACATGTAAAATTATTATCAACAGACACATTTCTTTACAGTACTTCGACATTGTTTTCCATAACATTATAGTCTAGTTTTGATTTGGAATAGGTTTCTCTATATTTTCCATTATAGTTACCAAATTTTGCTTTTGTTTTCTGATATTACCTGTCAATTGACTCCTTTTGTAATGTATTTCATATTTTTATGTTTAAAAATTGATTAAACTATGTTCTGTAGCTTGCAAGATAATTTTCATGTTCAGAACAATATCACACCCAAGATACTTTTTTCAACCTCACCTAGCTTTAAAATTGGAATCTTGGTAGTGCATGGGACTTAATAGAGGGTCTCTCTTCAGCTTTTTTTTAGGTTCATATCTAGAATGTACCTTAGCAATCGGTTTTCCCGTTGTCCCCACTTAATGTGCTTTGCTTCACATCATAGACTGGTCTTGGAGCACACGAGGTGAATTCCCTTTGTTTGCAATGGAACTAGATGTGCACCAGGAACATTGTGCTTCATACACTTCAGTAGGGAATCAACATGGGTGTCAATGGGGAGCAAGAAGCCCCAGATGTGTACTGTGTGCACTCTAGATCCATCCATGGATCTGCACTTTATCATATTGCTTCCTGTTCTACATATAGCCAAAGACTTGTTTTTCTTCTTTTTTCTAAGTGTGAGCAGAACAGATTTTTCGTAATCTTAATGTCTATCAGCCACTGACAAAAAAAGAGTAGTGGAGGGGAAAGTATGAGCAATATTTGTGGATTTTTCATAATTTCTAGAGTATGCTGATGCCTGCTTTCTTTTGCCAGTTTAATATTTCATAAATTCCCTCAGCTGGTATAGAAAAACTTTGTCAATTTTTATTATGTAGGAATTAGAAGAACGTTTACAACAGAAGCACTCGGAAGAACTTCAGGCACTGAAAGAAACACATAAACAAGCCATGGAAGGTTTCAAATTGGAGATGGAACAGGAACTTCAGACTCTACGATTTGAGCTGGAGGATGAAGGCAAAGCTATGTTAGGTATGCTAATCTTAAATTTACAAGTGGATCTAAAACCATTACTTCTAGTCATACAAATATATATTTATATATACGTATGCATGTGTGTGTTATAACACTGCAGTGTATCTCAGAGCCATTCAATGTTGACCTAGCTGTTGCTCTTAAAACCAATATAAGCTTTAACAGGTAAGCCCAAGCTGTTCACTTTTGAAAAATCTTACCCTTAAGTTTTTTTGAAAGGAGTAAGTGACCAAATTTCATAATCAAGAACATTAGAGGAAGTAACAGGAATAGAATGACAGCACAGTGCGCATTAGGTCAGCAGTACTACATGGCGTAGCTGGACTGTTAGTGTTAATTAATGTAAACGTTTGCAAAATGAACCTTTCTTTTTGTCCATGGTAACTAGCTTCCTTGCGCTCAGAGCTAAATCATCAACATGCAGCAGCGATTGACCAGCTGAGGCACAACCATCAGCAAGAACTGGTAGCTGCCAAAATGGAGCTTGAAAGAAGCATAGAACTCGGCAGGCGACAGGTAGGTGGCAATTCTGGCAACTGACTGTAAAATCACATAATTGACATTCATTTTCTCTTAGCTGGGGGCAAGAGCTCTTGTGAATAAACAACAAACATGTAGTCCTTCAAAGTCAGCCAGCACCAGCAGATCAGGCATCCTTACCAGTTTGCCTAAGCTTCCTTGCTTAGCTTTTTCTTCCTTCAACAAACTTCATTCGAAACTCAGTAACGGCTCCTGTATCGAGGCAGGAATTGTGCTCGCAGACTGTACGCTCAGAATTGTGCAGCCGTCTGGGAGCACGCTGCATTGCCCTGGGAGGAGAATGCTACTCCTTTAGTTGGACGTAGGCTTTACACAAAGCCCGTCAAAGATGAGCTTTCCTTTTTCTCTTCCTTCCTGGTTTAAAAGTGTGAGCACTTGAGGCAAAAATCTGCTGCCAGCAGTGAAGGAAAACACGCAGGATTTAGGTGGTTGTAGTTTCAGTCGTGTGTTGTTTCAACCTAGAGTGAGACACCTGAGGGAGATGTCATGAAAAAGTGATTGAATTACAAGAGCAAGCATTGGATCCAACCAAATACCGTGTACTTTTCGCCTCAGTACAATGATCTGCTGAGCACAAGCTTTAGTTGCACTGAGAACAGAGTAGTTAATTGAGTTTTCTCATATCTTTAATACAGTCTTTCTGTAGGGAAGTAGAGAGTTATTTTTAAAGATCTATTCTTAAAGATGTCCTATAAAAATTGTGCATTAGAATATATTTGTATTTCCTGGATGCATGAAGGCACAAAACACAAGTACACATAAAACTATTTTGAAATATCTGCTAATTTTCTGTCTATGCAAACTGTATTGTCATTATGCTCATTAATTGTTGTGAAACTGTAAGAAGCAGAATAGTTTACCAAAATTATTGGGATGGGTTCCAGATGAGTTTCCTACATGTTGACTTCATTGGAATTTCTTATGCAAAAAGAATGACTTTTATTGATTTATTGGACACATTATAAATATTATATAAACTATTTAACATGTGTTCTGTTGTGGGATATCTATGACCCATATATATATATATATGAGATATGAGACTTGTGAATCATAACGTCTGTCGATGGAGGGCATACATCTTCAGCTCTTTTGTCCTGTTGTATGGGGCTGTAAAGGGAAAGCCAGCGTCTGCCATTTGCTGAATAGATAGAAAATGCTAAATATCCGGCTCCCTGGTTCTTAGCGGTATCTGGGGTTTTGTTGTACGTGTGGGGGAAAGGAAAATGTGATGAGCTACACAAACTTTAACAGGCAATGATAATGTCAGGTTTTAAATTTTCTCCCAAATGGAAATTGTTCTGCATAAGTTTGATTTCTTCTTTAATTGTACTTGTACACAGTAAAAAGACACCTCAGTTTTATTTGTAATTGATATCAGCAAAAAAAAATGAAAAAAAAATCATCTGTTGAATGGAAAATTCTGCTCAGCTGTTACCTTCCAAACGCAAGTGTTGTGCTTTTGAGTGACAAATCTAAAATACTCATTGCTGCTGCTACTTATATCACAGGAGAAAGAATTTTTATGCCGAATATCAGATCTACAAGATGAACTGAGACACCGAGACCATCATATAGCTGAACTGGACAAAGAAATTCTGCATCTTCATGAAAATATAAGTGCATTGACCAAGGAATTAGAGTTCAAAGGGAAAGAAGTTCTTAGAATACGCAGTGAATCAAACCAACAGATCAGGTATGATTTTTTCCACTCTAAACTCAGATGTGCATTGTTTCACGTATTGTTTTACTCAAGAAATTCTACCATTTGCAGCTTTTAATTTAGCTTCTTAATCAAGTGCGGTTATATATCATTTTGACTTCTTTAGAAAATGTTATGTCCATTACTGGTAAAGTTAGTTAATATGACTGTACAGTTAAGTTGCATTTCAGTGGTACATTTTGGCCTATTTTAGTAGCATTTGCTCAAGTGTTGGGTTTTTGTGTTTTTTGTTTCTTATTTTTGTTTTGTTTTAAATATGTTTATTTTAAAAAGCATTAAAGGAGATGTATTTTCCATGAAATAAGCTGGAAGATTGGTGGACAGTTAAGTAGTGGGTTTTGATGAATCAATAATTCCTTCTGTGTTGTCTGATATTGTGTAAAAGCCATTAGAAGCATGGCAGAAAATCATGATGAACAAACCAGTCTGATTTTAGAATAACTCTTCTTTTAACAAAAAATAAATTAAACAGGATGCATGAGCAAGATTTAAGCAAGAAACATGAGAAAGAGCTGGATGTCTTGACAGCAGATCACATCAGAGAGAAACAAAGCATGCTGGCAGATTTTAATAAGACCCAAGAGCTGCTCAAGGAAATTAATTCAGCTTTACAAATTTCGTAAGTTTTGTTGCATTAAAAAAATCTGTATGTAGCTGCGTTTGAGTGAATACTTTATTCTGGTGTCCATACGTTGCTGAAGATACTGCACACCTTTATCTCTGCAAAAACCTCAGTCAAGTATGGGGCCTAATCCTGCATCCTTTAGGCAACATAATTCTGTAAGCTTCAGGGGAATTTAATGAGATAAATTGTAGGGATTTGAGACTAAAATATTTCAAATAGGAAAAATATTAAATCTTAGAAAAATGGAGAAATCATTATTTCAGATGTTTTCTTCTTTAATTCATCTTTTTTGAGAACACAGGAGTTTCTTCCTGTCCGGTCCCCATGTGTTGCCTGATCTAGTCAAGAGGTGGCGTCCCTGGTGGCAGGGAGGCTGGATTAAAATGATCTCTAAGGTCCCTTCCTGCTTAGGCCATTCTATGATTCTATGATTCAAGTTTATCAAGAGTACAATATTTGCTGTTAAGAAGTCTGTTTATAGCACGAGTGCCGCGCACACTTTCAGGTTTGCCAACGTAAGGAAAATCAGTGTCTGAAATGGATTATATGAGCATAAGAATAACAGAATACTTAGTGTGTCTGAGTGTCAAAATGCCACCTGGGGTTAGACCACCTCTGGGCAGAAGTGGTGTAGTGGTGTGTTGTCTCGTCGGTGTTTTCCTGTCTTCCACAGCCTTCATTTTTTGTCTCTGAGATGTGACCCCTTTGGCCAGGGTTTCTGGCTGAGGTTTCACAATACACCGAGGGCTTCGTGATGCAAAGTTGTCACAGGGGGGATTTGTATTTGCAGCACAATAGATGTATGGCAAAGAAAGAAAAATGGTTCTAACTATATGATAGACATTTTTAAAGTAAATATCAAAGATAGACAATAAAGCCCCAATGCATCTAATTCTTGATCATGAATATTTAGAAATTGTCTTTGAATAAGATGGGTATAAAATTCTAATTCCTACTCTTTTGTAATTGTCCACATGCACACTCTGGTGTCCTGATAAATGTGGTAATTTGCCATTCAGTAAACTAGGTGAAAAGCACCTCCTGTTTCCTGCATTTATCTTGTGTGAGAAGCATGCCTATGAGCTGCCACCAGAACTGGGTTTTAGAATTTTTTACCCTAACTTATTCTCCCATGAAGCTGTTGGTTTTTCAGTGTCCTGAAATCTTCTGAATTTACTTGGTTCCTCTACTCCTGGTTCTTGCTAACTTAGCTGTGAGGAAGCAGCCACTGGCAAACAGTAGCCAGAGTGCTCTGACCTGGCTTTCACTGTATTATCTGTCTCTACTTACACTGAAGCAAGGAGCTGTCAAAAGGGATTTAAAAAAAAAAACAAACACCCCAAAACCAGAAGAATTTTATGCAGCTATTTCTTAAGTAACTGTTTCCAAGTCTGGCCTCACATAAAGCATGTTTGTAAAAGGGAGAATCTATCTTACAGTAATTGAGAATGGGTATCAATAATTAGGCTCTACAACTAGTCTTTAAATTACATTTTATCTCTTTGAAACACACACAAAAAAAGCAGTTCCTTGAAATATATGAAAATAAAATGACAGCTGTGTGTAACTCTGTACTGTACTAAGGGGTTCTGTATACAATAGCTTAACCCAGCATAAAATGTGTACACAAAAATTAGGCCAGCTGAGCATATTTCTGTTCTGCTGAGTCAAATGCCTTTTCTGCAAATAAAAACAGTCATGTTATTCACATTCATAACGTTTTATGTAAATACATTATATAATCTCCTTAGATTATACAGGTTATTTGAAGGTTATAAATGTAATTTAATAGGAACCATTTTTTCAGTTGCAAGTCTAAGTAAAAGGTCACAGAGCTGCTCCTGAAGGGAAAATATCCATCTAAAGTGAGAAATCTTGTCTACTTCAGGTGTCCTCCTGTAGAGTTAAGTTTGAGCTGACTTTGACACCTTAAATTCAGAGATTTTTCTCAGGGCTTGTTTGTTGTTTTTTTAATTTTTTTTCATTAAGTTTGTTAAACTTCATGAGGATTATATTAATGTTTCAAAGAAACACAGCCATTTGAAATTGTCCTGTCTTCAAAACTTGTTAAGAAGAAACAATTCCTCTCTCAGTTGGCTTATTTCACTTCTCTCCTTTAATGCTTTCCCACCAGGCACTTCAAATTTCCTCCTATTTTTTTCCAATGTTTATAAATTGTTACATATCTCTTAATCCAGATATCCTAATATCCAAGTGTTATTGCTTTTCTTTTGCAGCTCATTCCTCTCTTTCATCTCTGATGATACTAAGTTGCTTTTGTGGAGATGAATTAGTTACCTGTTAGTCTTCACTGTTCTTGGATATCTTTGTTGCAGTATTTTCCACATGAACTGAGGAAGATGGTGCCAGCCTTTTCTGTCTCTCCAGTTTCTCCAGTATCATGCATCTTTATTCAGAGTAGTCATCTACAAAAATAATGACAGTTTGTTTTCCTCATCAAGAAAGTGACTTGCCAACTTCAAAAATTTACCTTAATGTTAACTATAATGCAATGTACTCCCTGTATTTTACATAAGAATCAATCCTAGCTATATCTTCTCTAATTCTCCTGTACATGTGGTGGTTTCAAATGCCTTATTTTCAGCCTGACTTCCTAGAGGCTTTTTTGCAAACACCTGGTACTGAATACACGAGAAGGATATAATTTTTTAAAAATTTTGTCCAGATTATTAGTTCCTGGAGCAAAGGTTATGGTTATTGTTGTGGTGGGTTTTGATTTTTTTTTTTTGTTGAGTTTTCTTGGGTTTTGTGTTTTGAACTAGCTAAAGCTGAATGGTAACATAGAAATTAATTTACTTCAGGGTGGTAAGACAGTCATCTTCTGTTTTTACTCCTTGAACTCTCTTTTGTACTAATCAAAGATATGACTAATCACTCATCATTTAACACTGGATCAGGCTAAAGGGAGTATTCTTCTTTCCTATAAAGTTTAGAAGAAATGGAAGAAAAATATAAAAACAGAGAATCAAGACCAGAAGACTTGCAACTTATCTCAGAACTGAAAGACCTAATTGCAGAGCGGGACCAACTCATAAAGAAATTGATTGTAAGACTTTTATGCTCTCTTGGTTTAATATCTTGACAGATACAAAAGTTAATCTAATTCAAAGTGTTTGAAATGTATTTAAAGAACCAATCCTGGTAGCATGTTACTCATATTCTTCAACGCATTATTCCCGTGGTTCCAATGTCTCATAATAGTAAAACTAATTAGATACAGAGAGTGCTGCACAATCAAGCATAATACATTATTAAAAAAATATTTCAGTATGACCTTGATCAGACATCTCCTATCTCCAATCCTGGAATAAGCCAGCCATGTAAGCCATATCAGAAACAGTCTCTGCTGTGATATTTCTAAGACCAATTTCCTGATCCACTGAGCTTCAGAGCAGAACACGCTGAATAAGATTAGTCTGATTAGATCCTTATTCAGAAGCAAGGAGTAATGAGCAAATTCAAGTTAATTAGAGATCACAATTTAACTACACTGAGTCTTTCCCAGTGCATAATCCATTAGGCTCTGCTTACTCTTGGGAGCATAGAACTGCAACAGAACTGCATAAATAGAAATTATTTAGATTATAACATATAGTAATATACAAAACGTATTAAATTTTAAATGCAGCTTTTTAGAATTACCAGTTTCTTTAAAAATATAAACATAGATTTATTTGAGATCATTTTATAGGCAGATTTGGCCACTAACTCACTGAAAATGCCTAAAAAGAAGTTTCTATTTGTTCTTCTTTTTAGGAGGACAAAAAGTTCTATCAGCTGGAGCTAGTTAACAGGGAGACTAACTACAACAAAATGTTTAATGCAAGCCCTAATGTTGGTGTTATTAATCCATTGGTGAAGGTATGTTCCATGGACTTCATTGCTAAAGTGAAGAATAAGAAATATAAAGTTAGGATATATTAAAAAAAGAAATATATGTGTATGTGTGTGTGCCTGCGTGTATACATATATCACTCTTAAAAGACATGTTCAAAACAAGGAACATAGTTTTCCATTTGTCTGCTTATTTTTGTGTAGGTTTGTTTCTTTTGTGTTGTTGAGAGATCCACTGATATTGTTGCCCTTGTTTGCTAGACATGCATGACATAAAACACAGTTCCTCTAAGTAGGAAAACTGCAAAATAAAACCAGAAAAGCGACAGAAAGGCAACAGAGGGCAGGGCTCTATCATATAATAGAGAACAATGACACCCGTAACCAGTTTTAGTTTCACAATTTTTTTTTGTTATTTTGGAAAGTGCAAGGGAAATTTCATTTTTCAGGTGGTACTCAGGGTGGAAAAGCATTAGAAAGAGGGAGAGGGGACACTGAAGGAATAAGGGTAAAAAGGGGACGGGGTCCAGCCCTATTTAATATATTCGTAAGTGACCTGGACAAAAGGACAGAGTAAGTTTACGGATGATACAGAACTGGGTGCCGTGGCTGACACACCAGAAGGCTGTGCTGCCATCCAGTGTGACCTGGATGGGCTGGAGAGTTGGATGGGAAGAAACTTAATGAAATTCAATAAGGGCAGGTGCAGAGTATTGCATCTCGGGAGGAACAAGCTCATATATTGGTACAGGTTGAGCGCTGACCTGCTGGAAAGCAGCTCTGGGGAAAAGGACCTGGGAGTCCTGGTGAACAAGAGGCTGACCATGAGCCAACAACGTACCCTCGCGGCCAAGAAGGTTAATTGCATCCTGGGGTGCATCCAGAAGAGTGTGACCAGCAGGTCGAGGGAGGTTCTCCTCCTTCTCTACTCTGCCCTGGTGGATGATACAGAACTGGGTGCCGTGGCTGACACACCAGAAGGCTGTGCTGCCATCCAGTGTGACCTGGATGGGCTGGAGAGTTGGATGGGAAGAAACTTAATGAAATTCAATAAGGGCAGGTGCAGAGTATTGCATCTCGGGAGGAACAAGCTCATATATTGGCACAGGTTGAGCGCTGACCTGCTGGAAAGCAGCTCTGGGGAAAAGGACCTGGGAGTCCTGGTGAACAAGAGGCTGACCATGAGCCAACAACGTACCCTCGCGGCCAAGAAGGTTAATTGCATCCTGGGGTGCATCCAGAAGAGTGTGACCAGCAGGTCGAGGGAGGTTCTCCTCCTTCTCTACTCTGCCCTGGTGAGGCCATATCTGGAATACTGTGTCCAGTTCGGGCTCCCCAGTTCAAGAAGTACAGGGAACTGGTGGAGATAGTCCAGCACAAGGCCACTAAGATGATTGAGGGGCTGAAGTATCTACCATAAAGGGTAGAGAGCAGCTGCCATAAAGGCTGAGCGAGTTGGGTCTGTTTAGCTTGAAGAAGAAGAGGCTGAGGAGAGATCTCATCAGTGCTTATAAATATCCAAAGGGCAGATGTCAGGAAGACGGGGCCAGACTCTTCTCAGTGGTGTCCAGGGACAGGACAAGGGGCAATGGTCACAAACTGGAAAACAGGACATTCAGCTTAAACATAGTCCCTTCCAACCCCTACCATTTGGTGATTCTGTGAAGAGTAAGAGCAGGGCATAGAATGAGTCCGAATGGAGAAAGACAGAGTAATACTGGACAATTGGAGTGACAAGGCAGGTATGGACTGCGGGGGTAGGAGGAGACAGAAGTCAGTCTCTAGTCTTCTTCTTCTCAGTTATTGTCACCTCCAATATGAGTGGAAACACTTCAGTAGCAACCTTTTCCAGTTCTCTTCATCTTGCTCAATAGCAGCCAATGAAGGCTACTGTACAAGCTGGCTTAGTAGCCTCCCCGTCACTTGAAAAGCCAGCAGCATTCCTCCATGAGGAATGTGACTGCACGGTGGTAGGGTACCTTAATACTATTTCTTTTCACTACCTCAGGAGTAAGAATGAGTCCTCTGACATTTCCTTCCTCCTTGTGATAACCCATAGGTTATTTCACCTGCATGGAAAGGGAAGAGATTTGTCCCAGCTGTAGAAGCAGAAGAACTCGGGAAGGTTCTGAAGCAGAGGGGAACCCAAGGGGCACAACATGAGCAGCTCAGATGCCCGAGAGCTTCAGTGATCAAGGTTGAGGCTCTGTTATTTAAAAGGAGGTCTGGCTCCGTTAATTGAGACCATGTTGTGTTGTTCAGCTAAGCCTTATTGTAGTTTCATGTCAGATCAGTGTTTTTCCCACTTCTGCACAAACTCGAGAATTGTCAATATTCTACAGTTTCCAGGAGTCCAGCAGTTCCCACAAGCTTATCCAGAGGTGCCCAACTTTTATGCATAACTGCATAAAAGAACTTTGTTTGGGCCCAGTAGAGATAATACCAGGACTGCCAGATACAATTTGAATGCTTTGGTTTTATGTGAAAAAGGTTGTTCGAAGATTTTGGAAGTTTGTCTGAACCACTCATTTATAAAGATGTGAAATGTAACCATCAAGTATAGAAGCTCATGTTTTGTGTGAAATCTGAAGTGTTTGGGAGAACTTCAACATCAGATTTCCATAGTGATAATTCATATAATTTTATAATATGCTTCTATCACTTCAAACTGTTTAGACTTTAAAACTGTCTTGTATGCCAGAACATTCTGATCCCTCATTTCATGAGTTGTGGACTATGTCACGTACCGTATTGTTGGAGAATGAATTGCAAAGAAACTGAAAATCTCATTCTCATTCTCCTCTATCTTTTATTAAAAAAAAAGACAAAATTTATAGGTTACTACATGCTTTGCATATTAATGCAAGATGACAGCCATTGCAGTATGTATTACAGCATCTCTAATTTATGCAATGGATCTGATTAATATTGATTTTTATATCTGAAATTTCTTAATACTTTGCATGAATTTCATGGAAACAATACACACAATTTTGTCTCTGCAGATTTGACTGCTTCAGAATCATAGATTGTCTTACAGAAAGACATAAACTCTAGTATTTTTCTAAGCATTTGTGTGGATAACATACATTTTCCAGAAATAAGCCAGCTGTGAAGCACACAGATTTCACTACACACCATTTTTACAGCATTTATTACCTTGCGGATATACTTTACATATGGTCGGTTACTTTTACCAAACCATTTCTTCCACTATAAAGTTATTTCTTGCTCCTTCAGCAGAAGTAATGAAATGTATTGGATCATCTTAGTTTAATCCTTTGCAGCTAATGATCTTTCACTGGGATGCTTAAAAAAAAAACCACTTTTTTTTTTCTATTAGAGCTTTCTGTTAAATCATTGGGTATTTTTTAATTGACAAACGCATCCACCAGCGTGGCTATAATTAGTAACATTTGCACCTTCCAACCCTGGAGAGGTCAGGCGCTGAAAGCAAAGCTAGCAGAGAGCTACAGCTAGAAAAGTACAAACAAAAGGACTCTCTATGTCTCTGTTTAAGCTCATGCCCACCCTCAAATAGAGCAGCTCTTCTGTTTCTAGGGGAATTCTCCTGGAAAATGTGATATAGAAACAACATGAGATTCCACTTGTCTTTCACTTTATTTAGTTCAAATTTGTGTACTTCAGAAAGCCCCTAAGAGGTTTTTCTCCTAGCTGCTTTGCTGGGGTTGCGTATATGTAATTGAATGAAAGTATTTATTATATATTCAAATAATACATAATTCATGAGAATAAATGAATCCATTCATTCAAAAATCCTATTTTTGGAAATCAGGCTTTTTTAATATTAATATTTTATTGTGGACATGGAATATTTGGTAGAAGTAAGAAAATACACATGGCATCCTGTCACACAGCTATATTAAAAAAGCTATAGATTTATTTAAAGCATCCTTCTACATTAAAGTATCTATAGAAGTAGAGAGGATAAATACTGATTCCTTTGTATGATATGTTACGGAAGAAAACTAGTGACATAAAAATAAAATTCTTCAGTATTTTGACTCCCTTGAAATAATATCAGGAGTATTAAGAAAAATGTTCAGTTGTGCCATCTGGTGTCTAGAAGTGGGAGCCGTATTAGCATTAGAAGCCTGGTCTTTTCCTTGTTCAAGAAACTTAACTCCTTTGCTGTAATCTTTTTATATTTTCTTCGGTTTTTTATCTTATTATTAGCGTTGCTGTAATGTTTCCTAACTATGAGGGTGTAATTGCTTTAAATGTAGCTGCATTTCTAGGTTCCATGTTCCAGTGACCAAAATGTGCCTCAGTGATGGGGTGAAACCTGTTGGAGAGATTCACTTTTTCCATCATTGTAATTTGCTGTAATTACAGTGGACAGCAGAGCTGTTTCACTAATATCAAGAAAGGATTTAACTAACCATGAAAGATTTGGAAGACTAAATGACAATTTTGTGGAAAACTTCCTATTTCCAATGTCTTAAACAGGGGAAAATGTTATTATATTGGAAAATCTCATATACATGATTATTACATTAAGTCTTAGTAACTTAATCACCTTGATCAAACTTTTGATTTTTCTGCGAAACGTTCAGGGCTGGTCAAAGCAAATACTAAGATTACAATTGAAAAAATCCCGCACCAGCCTGTCCCAATTGCTCTCCTTCAACAACAACCCCAAACCCACCATCAGTGAGACTTTTCGATTTGCAAATTTCCTCATCTGTCCTGGTGCAAGAAGCCTTCCTTACATTTGTTATTTTTAATGCAGCAAAAGAAGAAGAACGATAAATCAACAAACAGGTTTGTGAGTGTCCCCAATCTAAGTGCTCTGGAATCTAGCGGAGTGGTGGGCAATGGACATCCTAACCGCCTGGACCCCATTCCCAACTCACCCATCCACGATATTGAGTTCAACAGCAGCAAACCACTACCACAGCCAGTGCCACCCAAAGAGCCCAAGACGTTTTTGAGGTGAGCACTGCCTCACCAATCTTTTTTTTTTTTTTTGCTTAACTCAGGAAAATTTTCCATCCTTATTGAGCTGAATCCCATTTGCTTTATGAACTTTTCAGAGGTACAAGTACTCTTGTGGCATTTTCAATTTTTGCATTATATTTGTAACCTCTTTATAGTATTCCTTTTTATCGTAGCTCTTGTTGAAATGTGAGTATTCTCTCACTTTTCCGTAAGTCTTGAACTTTGAAAACCTCTTCAGATATTTTAACGGAATTCATGTGCTTCCAATTGTTTACATATACGAACAATTGTTTATAATGTTTGTGTTAGTTACTAATTGTCATTTGGGAATTGACACTAGCACAGAATTCCTTTTATCCAGTATTACGTGATAATGGTTTTTACGTAAGAAAACTATTTTCTGTGCTACGTGAACGTTCTGTGTTTCCCCTTTCCTCACCTATATCCAGTTGTTTCATAGGAGTAATCCTACTACAGCAACAGGCAATGTGCAGGCTTGGGTGCTTAATGCTGACCTTCCAGTAATATCCAACCCAGCATTAAAGTCTCAAGTAATTCTCTCCCCAAATAATACAGTGAATTGACTAACTTGAAAATGGCATTTGAGAGGCAGGATTTTAATCTTTTGACTTTATGTGCCTACATATTAAATGCACTGCAGCGCTGTGCTCTATTTGGTAGGTGCTGATTTCGTACCTCTAAGTCGGCAACTTAAGTTGTGTAGTTACTGGTCCCACAGTTGGTTGTTTACTCTCTCCTTGGGTTTAATGCAAAAGACCACATACCTAGGCACTGCTAATTATAAAAGGAAACAAACAGTAAAACCTAAAATAGACAAGGGAAAACAATCTATCTTGAGAAAGTAATCTCTTTATGAAAAAAATACTGTTGCTTATTTTTTCCTGTGCATGCAATGTGCATGAGAATGCGTGTGCATGAACTCGTGGACTGTGATGCAGGAGTTCCTATTCCAAATTGTGCTCATTATTATCCAGTAATACAGTAGAGATTATTTTATTACTGATCTTTGGTGGTAAAGGAAGGTAACTGTGTCATTAAATTATTCTCTCTTGCTCATTTTGTGAGAATTTTAAGTGGTCAAGGGGGAACCGAATCTTGTTAGAAGTGCAGTAGTTTCTTTTTTTCCTAATACATTAGCATATTTTAAATGTGTGCATGAATTGCAGTGCAAGTGATATTTGTGATTGGTGTTAAGTATTGAAATAGTGTGTATTTTTGTTCAGTTGCCAGTCTGTGTGAGCACATGTCTACAAATATGATGCTCGCATCATATTTTTGAAAATTAACTTTACTACAGGAAAAGGATGCTAAAAGAGGACCCTCTACAGGCACGCTTTTCCAAGAAAAACCTTTTTATTCTTCCTGAAAAGCTGCAACTGTTTCTGAGGTTTTAAATTAAGTTTTCCAAAATATTATTTGCTCGCCCTGTAATGTGGCTTCTGAACTGACTTGTTCGTGCTGCTGATGCTCTCCAATGGAGTGGATGATCACAGACTCGGTAGGGAGACACTGAACCATGTCCTGAGGCACACGGAGAACTAACCCATGGAAAACCAGACTGTGTTCTTGACTGAATATTCTCTGTGCTTTTTTTTTTGCTTTTTTTCTCTCCTAACATTTGTACTTTTTCTGTTGTAGTTGTGGGATAATTGTGTTGTGTTTTTTTTTTTTTCCTTTCTGTGAATTTAGCCCTCCTCAGAGTGATGCTTCACCAGTGGCTTCACCAGATCCACAACGCCAGGAGTGGCTTGCCCGGTACTTCACGTTCTGAGAGACGATTAGTTTTTGTGGCACAGCGTAATGTGGACTGTTTTATAAGAGCATGACCTTAAGTAAACCCTCATGTGAACAAGCTTTCCTGTAATTTGTCAAACACTGTGAATGAGAAAGTATTTGTCTTTCTGATTTGAAACGGCACTGTATTTCATGTTATATTTGTTGGAATCACTTGCCATGGTACTACTATATAATGTGTGTAATTCTAACTATTATTTTTATTTATAATGGAAGAACTTTAAACTTTGTAATTACTACATAATAAATTTTGGTAGAACAAACATAATGCTTTCCCCCTTTTTCCTATAAATGTGTTTTCTTTGATTTCAGATAAGGCTCTTCCCCAAAAAATAACGTAATTGCATGGTTACTATAAATACAATTTAAATTGTAAAAGGAAAAAGTATATATTACTCTCTCTCAAGTTTGGGCAGGATGTGCTTAATGCATCCCAGTTCTATTCTGTTACTTGGTGGCAGTTTAAAAACTGTCTCTTTCTAACATTTAAAAGGAAGAATGTGAAATCATAGAATCATGGAATCATAGAATGACCTAGGCTGGAAGGGACCTTAGAGATCATCTAGTCCAACCTCCCTGTCATGGGCAGGGACGCCACCTCTCGACTAGACCAGGCAACACATGGGAAATAAATCAAAATGAGTGTAGCTGCTGGCTTTCAGAGCAGAGTCACTTTTGAGAAGAGGATGAAAAAAGCCACGAGCCAGGAGCTGTTAGTTGGGGAAGGTGGGATGACTCCTTACCTGTTGCTCATGAGACTTTGCCATCTGGTTATAATCAAACTTTTCATCACTGAATTTAAGCAGAAACTGTTCCCACAATTTACATATTTCTATTACGAATATTACCAAAACAAATGTTTGAAACACTGAGAATACTGTACTAAGTACCTCTGCATAAATAAAGAATCTACATTTTGAGTATATAGTCCATCTTTGGATAAAATTCATGTCTGAAATGAAAAAGAAAACAAAACCAAAACCATCAAAAAAACACCACCCAACTTTTCCCATTTATACATACTATGGATACAGATCTTTCATTGAAGCTTAATTACCTTTCCTTGTCTATATTAAAGTTTTTTTCTTCAACTGATATATGAAAATGTTTTCTCTGCTAGTGAGCATGATTCTCCAGTCTACACCATTTATGATGCCAGTGTCGCTCAAGCAATTTGCTGCAGCATTTAGAAAACTAGAGCTTATTGTCTTTTTGTATATTTTTTCATTCAAAGATTACCACAAAGTAACTCACACTGGTAGTCTCAGGGAGAAAATTGTTTCTTTGTTTTATGAATGTATTTTTAAGCTGATTCTCTTTTAAAAGCAGGAAAAAATGTTTGAGTTATTTGAATAAGGTCTTAGTTAGCATATACAAAGGTCTTGGACTTTAATATTTCATCTGAAGCCCTAACCAGATCCTTTTTTCGCTATATGCACAAAGGTAAATATCCAGATGAAGATACTTGCTAATTGCAATGAGTTTTGTATGTAGTATATGTATAAATGAAAAATTTGTATGTTTTCATATAAACAATAGAAAATCTTCTAAATGAACATTTTAAAACTTCTATCTTACAATTCAGCTTGAAAACTCCACTGAAAGCTGTATTCTGGTGATGCTACCGTGGATTAAAGATGTATAGAGCAGATTTTCTGTAGCTGGGGGACTCAACTGTAGGTATATGCAACTTTTTAATTTTAGAAGAAAGCCATATTGGGCAAAATGTCAGATTTCTTGGCTGTTACCCAAAATAAAATACACTAGCTCATTTTGTTATAATGTTCTGAAGTGAGTGTTGCGTATTTTTTCTTGCATGCTTTGCAAGGGCTCAGCCTTTTTTCTCCTATCCTCCACTTCATTTGTACATTCCTACATTTTTATATATGGAATTAATCACTGATCAGTAATTGGAAAGTGATAATACTGGCATTTACCTATTCAGTAAAAAGTATTCCCACTGTTTTTTGGCTAGTAGGCATTTGTTTTTTGAAAGGGAGAAGAAGGTAAATAAGTATTCAGTTGTCATACAGCTGCGGTCAGGAGCTGTTTCATTAATGAATCAGTCTCTTAAAAACAAAAAACCAAAACTGAGACAGCAATAGCCCAAAACCAACCTGAAGAAACTAGTATAAAAATTATTTTCTATCAAATGGCACTGAGAACTCTGTAAAATGTATTCCTAAAAAAAGTTAATATCTAGCATTGGAGATTAATACAGGAACTTGTGTTTCCATAATGCCACTGTGTTCCTGATCGCTGCAGTATCTGGTATTCTGAAAAAAACGCTAGAAGTGCATTTTCATGAGTCCAGTTGTGCAGAGTTCTGCAAAGTCTCTGCTCTCACACAGGTGTGCAGTCTTTCCTGGCTGAACTGACAGGTTCGAGTAAGGAGGTGCAGAATTACTCTGAAGTTATGTTATTTACAACGATGGGAAAATCTGTTGGCTCTCAGGAGCTCGTTCTCTGCACTCTGACAAATTAAATGTCACTGTCAGTCCCTAGCGTTACTAATTCCCTCGATCCTTTAGTTTTATTCAAGAAGAACAACAAAAAGTCAAAGCACAAACAATAAAGAATATAGTGTTTTGATCCCTACTGTGTTTTCCTCTGGAAGAAAGAACAGGGTATACTTAATAGCGGGGGCAAAATGCAGAAGATTCCTACATTTCCTCAGAACATCATCAAAATAATCAGTCGCAGGACCGGGTTCAGCTCCTGGGTCTGGATTGCTTTGTTTACCTCTGGGATAAGAGTTTGACTGCCAGTGAATTTGCCAGGTTTGCAGAACAGCGCTGTAGCCGACCCATCCAACATGATCTCATAGCAAAGGGAAGAATTACGTCCCGAGAACTGTGTGGCTTTTTATCTGCAGAAGGAATTGTATCCAGAAGGTATACTTGGAAAAAACAAAACCCAGGATGACTGCAAACCAAGCTGCAATCAGTGCCAGCGTAGAAATTGCTTTGTCCATTTGACTCCTTCCTTTTACATTTTTTGAGTTACTTCAGCATATGTATACTGTATTTACCTGATACTTCAAGGAAGATACTAGTCCTATGAGAAGTATTGGCAATAAATTACATGGGTCAGGTCAATATTATAGAATTTTAAACATTCTAATATAGTCTAAATAAATTTTCATGACAGTTTCTCTCATGATCTGTTATTCCAGAAGAAAAACCTTGGATTATTTTCTAACAGTTTTGAGTAGTTTCATGTGTACACATTTAAATTAAAATTAAATGTCTTAGGTTGGTAATCTTTGATCACTTTAAAGAGTAAGAATAGCTGTGTGTTACAAAACCAGAGAATATATAATACCTTTTTTTTTAGTATATAACTATAATCTTTTATTCCTAAATGTTTTATATAGTGCTGCAAGAATCTTTGTTTACATTCTTAAAGCAGAATATTTTTTTTTTGCACCTGCCGTAGGGAGTCTCTGGAACTAAACTTTCCTGGTTTTTTGAGACTAGAAAACTGTTTCCACAAGGAAAATAATGAGTTGTGCTTCAAAACTGAAAGCAACAGTCTCCTCGGGGAAAAATGCTGCCGTTCCTGTAGCTGAACACAGAGGGATTCTGAACTACAGCCCGTCGTGCAGCACTTGCCTTTCTGGTAGGGCAGCTGAAAAAAAAATGATGCCAGTAACCATAGCTAGAAAATCCCAATATTAACTTTTGACTAGTAGTCATTCATTTTTTTCCAGTTCTAAGTCTTACTCTGAAACTCTATTTAAAAACTGTACGACATAAGGAAATCCTAATGAATATCAGGAGACTTCACTCATAATATTAAAAATCAGACCTGCTCATGGTGTCAGAGCAATCTCTTGCTTGCTTGAGGTTTAAGTTATATGTGAATTTTCCTACATGATCCCCATGCTATCCACAGGTAAATTTCACTAATTTGGCACTGAGGAAATTAGACTCTCTCAAGTTTTCCTCTTTTGCTGTAATTTACTTTCCTTAGAAGGAAAAAGACTGAGTCACATCACTTAAGAAAACGGTGATCTCCAACCTCCTCTGGAGTCCACAGGCAGCTTCAAGGGTGAATCAGCCCACTTCTGCATTAAGAACTGTAGAGCAACAGAAACATAAGTGCCTCCATTGACTAAATTTAGGTGCGAGGAACTCTATTATTTTGGCTTGTAATTTTTTTAACCAACTTAGGCAAAAAATACAACGGCTTTGAAAGATGCGAACTGGGAGCTATGTTGCTTTTTTCCTGGTATGTTGAATATAGTCCAATACAGTACTGGTACTCTTGTTCCTAGGCAAATGCTAAACCTTTCTGTACTATAATGAAGGCAAAACTCTGATTCCTAGTACTGTTATTTAGCTACTTTTGGGTGTTGAGCATTATATCAAGTTTTCCTCTTTTGCTGTAATTTACTTTCCTTAGAAGGAAAAAGACTGAGTCACATCACTTAAGAAAACTGATTATATCAGTTTCATTTATGTATACATTCCGTGCCAAAACCTTTAAATGGAAATAGGACTGGTTTCCATGTGCAGTTATATACAGAAATCAGCTTGCAGTTCTAAAGCTAATTTACTTCTCAGTATATTTCGGTCATACGCTTTGGTCAGCCACTTCTTTAGACATGCTACAGTAATTGGAAGTACCTGTGGACAGTACTGGGATCGTGTAACAAAACCAGGCAGCCAAGCAGAAATTGAACTTTTCCTCTTCAGCCTGACCGACTGCTGAACTCCATTTCTCTTATAGTAGAACTTGCTACTGGCTGAACTCAACATTGGGCTCTTCTATTGCATAACTGTGTTAGCATTTATCATTTTCAAGCACATACACAATTAGACAACTCAAGCTTTGCTGACTGCACAAATTGCTCTGCAAGTTCCCAGGTTAACAATGGGATCTATGAGGTGAACTGTGATCCACTTTGGAGTCCTGCAACATCTTAAGGGTGAGTTTATAATTAATTGCCTGTCACTAAGGCAACTCAGTTATTTTCAAAGTTAAGCATGGTTCAGGCGCCTGGTTGCAGTCAACAGCTGGATGAACACAAGGAGCAGCAGCTGAGTCCAGCAGCACTGAGAGCAATGTTGCTATGGAACTAGAAGAACCAAGCTTAAGAAAATAAAAGCATAATTCAATAATGACTACCAAAATCTGGCTTCATTATGACAGCGACTACTCTTGGAAATCAACAGGCATTCAATGTTCAACCTTACGAGACGAAGAGAAATGTTTAGAGAGCAGCTGAGTCTTTACCTGGAACTACATCCACATAACTTTGGCTGTAACTCGTGAGCGCAGTGGCCGGGCACACAGGGAACGAGCACAGCACACCTTGGGCCATCACCGCCTTAGGGCAGGGGCTGAAGCCTGAGTTTTGTGGTCACGTGAACGTTCAACCATGTTCACGCTGCTTAGTCTAAATCTTTACCTGAACTGTGGGATCCACCAGCCCTTCTGGGCACTGGTGCAGCCTTGCCGGCACCGTCCCAGTTGTGCGCTGGAGCGG